TTACACATCACTGCTCCCAATTCTGATTTCAGTTGCTGGTTTTTGGTTTTATTTTGTTTGATAAACACAAGTTCCCTTACTTTCCCTTCCTTGTTGGAATCACAGCAGTGTACTTATCTTGCCTATATGTTTAAGTAACTGGAGTAGAAGCTCAAAATGTACCAGCAAGATTGGTTTATCCTCCTGAGCTTCTGACATCACCATAGCATCATCCCTGGGGTAGCTACTGTCCTTCAATTTGAGCCCCAGAATGGACACACATGGATCAGACCCCAACAGATCCCACAACTTGTAGCTAAGTCAGCTGAGTCCAGCTGTGCTCAAACAAACATTAACTGATCTGCAATTTTGTGAGTTGAAAAAAATTCAATTTTAAGCCATTGAGATTTGTACACATAGCATTTGGATGAAATAGCTCACTGATTCAGAAGTAAAAGAAAATGTCTCACTAATGAATGGAACATAGAGATAAGGGAAAGGGAGGCATTAAGAATGGTTGTTTTTTGGCTTGAGCAAATGCTATCTATTGGGGTTTGAAGGCGTAGGCTGGGAGAAGAAAAGTTGGAAAGAAATGAAGAGCTCAGGTTTGGATAGCAAGGAACTGCTAGCTATATGAGTATGATAAGCTCAGGGCTGGAGCTCTAAGTTTGTGATCATTGGCAAAGAAATGGTCTTAAGAGCCAGATTTGCATGACATCATTCAGAGATGGGAGCTGCATACAAGAAAAGTCTCAGATTGGGTCTAGGGTCCTCTAACATTTGGGTGTTGGGGAAGAAGGAGTAGCTACTAAGACAGGGGAAAAATGTGGAGATACGGAAATAGAATCAACAGAGAGAAAAAGGTCAAGGAAAAGAGGGTGAGGAATCCCTTGTGATTCCTACTTCCAGACTTCCTTACAGTTTTCTATCAACAAAGCAGGCAGAGGAATCATTTAAAAACACAAGTCAGTTCATGCTGCAACTCTACTCAAAAAATAGCTCTAGGGGCTGGGGTTGTGGTCAGTGGTAGAGTCCTTCCTAGCATGTGTGAGGCACGGGGTTTGATCCTCAGCACCACATAAAAATAAATAAAGTTATTGTATCTATTTACAAAAATTTTTAAAAAATAGCTCTGCATCTAAATAAAGGTCAAAATCTTTACCGTGGCCTGCAGGACCCTACATAGTCTGTTAGCTTTTCTTACCTATCTGATCTCAATATCTACTACTCTCTCCTGTGCTCACTTTGTTCTAACCATGTTAGACTCTGCTTCCTTTTCACAAAAACACCAGGCACAATCCTGCCTTAAGGCCTTTACATTGGTCATTGTCACTATCTGGAATGTTTGTACCCCATGTATTCTCAAGGCTCACTCCTTAACCTCCTTCAAGTATTTACTCAGATATCACCTTTTCAATGAGGCCTACCTTTCCCCTTTTTAAAATTGCAACCTCTTTCCCAGCACTCCTGGTGTCTCTTGGCCCACTCCAATTTTTTCTAAAGCACTATTGCCTTTTACCTCATTACCTGTTTGTTTATTGTTTGTTGTCTCATCTCTCTAGGATTTCTGTTTTCTTTACTTCTTAACATTCAAAATAGTACTTAGCTAGTATTAGGTGAAAGGATAAATGAATGACAAACTGTGTCAATGCTGCTGAGAGGTTCTGATGAAGACAGAAATGTATCTACTAGGTTTGTTAATAAGGAAGTTACTGGCAACTTTGGCAAGCTTAAAAGGTAGAGACACAGCCAGACTAGAAGGAAATTGAAAGTAAATAGAACATTTCTGGTCTGGCAATACACTGGGTCATATTTCTTGAAATACCCTCCTTTAGATTCTAGATAAAACTTAAGTGCCATGAAGTCACAGCAAGAGTGTGTGTGTGTGTGTGTGTGTGTGTGTGTGTATGATTGTGTGTGTGTGTGTGTGTGTATATATATATATATAATGAGGATTGAAGAATTGGAACCAGTTACTCAGTTATTCAGTAATCCTACAACTTCCTAATAAATTACATGTCTCTCCAAACTCAGTGTTACCCTTTTATTTAAGGGTCATCATCTCCAGCCTCTATAAACAATTGTTTTTACCACTCTACTCTTCATACCTTGCCTAGCACATAATGTATGCTCAGTAAATACATGTTGGATAAATAAACTCATGTCTTGTTCCCCTCTTGCCTTTCCTTATAGTAACCAGAATGAAGTTTTTTTTTCTTCCTCGGCGCTGGCCACCAAACCCAGGTATTGCACAAACTAGGAAAAGAATTTTATCACTGAGCTATATACACTCCCAGACCCAGTGTGTGGTTTTAAAAATATATCCTATGAATCACTTCCAGCTTCAGACCCTCCCTGACTTCCCTTTGTACCATGAAGCCCATCCATTATTAAGCCTGGCCAAACTCTCTGAAAGCATCTGGACTTACTAACTCCACTCCACCTACGTCCTTTTTCTTCCTCAAATATTCCAAGTGTTTTTCAACTGCAAGACCTTTGTACTTATTGTTCCCTCTGGCTGCCGTGCTTTTTCCAGGTTCTTAGCATACTGGCTCACTCCCATTCTCAGCTTTAGGTAAAAATGTCACTTCTTTGGACAAGCCTTCCTGGGCCACTGACACCTCACCATGGTTAAAGACATCTGCCGGGGCTGGGGATGTGGCTCAAGCGGTAGCGCGCTCGCCTAGCATGCGTGCGGCCCGGGTTCGATCCTCAGCAGCAC